TTTCCTGTATGGCACTTCATAATATCATATATACACATACACACACACACAAAAACACATGCATGTAAGAAATGATATATGTTAAATACATCAGGAGTAAATACAGGTTGTAAATGTAATTTCTAGTTGGTTTTAATATTAAACACAGCAATAGAGACTCCATTAGGAATTTTGCAATGATTATAAAATGTTTTTTGTGTGTTGATTCAAACACAGACTGGTAGATGTCCCATTGGGAATCAATAAAGAATCAGTCTACCTATAGATTGCTTCTCAAAATATTTCCCAGTGGTTAAAAGCAGAGGTCGCACCTGATGTCAGTCAGAATATATCTGCCATCTGCAGGAAGATGAGAAACCGTCCAATCCATCTCTCTTCGCAGCTAAAGGCCACAGCTGAGCCCGTGCTCCCCTAAACGCTCGCTCCGTCTCTCATCCCTCGGGTTTACAGGCTAAACGCTCAGCCAGACGCACACAACTACAGCTAATGGCTACATTACGCTTCCTTAAAGCGCTCGCTTAGTCTTCTGGGCACATTAGAGCAGATAACAAAACAAATTCCCTGCAAACATCTCCAGATGCTGCTGTCATCACACGTCATGCATGATGGCATATGATGGCCATTGATTTACAACACAAATCTGCACCCTAAATATGATTGTTGTAGAAGGTTAATGAAGGGACACTAGATTCTGACTGACTAGAACTTCTGACTCAACCAATCACGTGAGTTTGGGGGCGGGACTAAGTGGCCACATGACAGTCAAAAAATGACAGTCAATATGAAACATGAAGTGTTTTTACTTCTCTAGTCAGACGTACTTTTTTAAGTGAAACGGGATATTCAACAAGAATATATATATTATCCATCTTTAGAGACATTAATACAAATGGAAAGTCTTGCTTGTTGTTTTAACATTCGTATTTTGTCTTTGTAATAACTTGCACTGATTAATTTGTTTATTATTTAATGCCACCAAAGGCTATTCATGGCAAACTAAAGAGTAATACAGTTTCAAATAATCATAACAATAATACTTCAATGAATTGTATACAATACCTTTACGATATTATCTTTACAAACAATAAAATAAATAAATAACAATTGTGCACTGATTCACAATTGTTGTGTTTTATTGCCACACCAGCTTCAATTGCTATTTTAGGACAGAAATGAATCAAACATTCGTTTAAATTCAGTTCAAACTGTTCCATACAAGAGGAAACTCTATAAAAGATTCTTACTTGTGATAAAAAGCGTATGTTTTCTTGTGCCCATACCAGTGAATTAAACGGTCGATTTTGACGTTTTCATGACTTTGATGAGTTTAAAACACACAGACCTTTATCCTGTCCATGCAGGCCTCCATCTTCAGCTGCTCCACGGCTTTCCGGGCCTGAGAGATGCTGGCGGTGCTGTTATTAGCCATTCCGTCCTTCATGATTGAGTCCTGCACACAAAACACACACCAGATGAGACACGGAGAGTCTGTGAGCTGCTTCTGTGTTATTACAGCACAGCTGACTCCTGCAGGTCAAACTTCAACTCCAGACAATCACAACAATATTAGATCTTACACTAACAAAGACTACACGATGGTGCACCAGTATTCTTATGAGTACCTTCAAGTAAATACCAGTGTATGTGAAGACTGTAATTATTCAGTAGCATGGTAGGCTATATATCATATAGCACTAAAATGTTTACTAAACAAAACTTAATAGACACTTAGCCAAAAAGAATAGGAGTTTTTATGTTCTTCATGCAAACTCATAGATGCTCAAGAGGTTAACATTTAATAATGTAAAAGGTAAAATAAATGAAAAAGTTCTATGGTATTACCACAGTACTTTACTGTAACCATGTGACAGGATTTATGACTCGTATATACAAAATTTGTGGTCAGTAAGATTTTTTTATTCAAAATATATAAAAAAAAAAAAAAATCAAGGATGCATTAATCTGTTCAAAAGTGACAGTAAAGACATTTCTAATATTCTGAAAGAATTATATTTCAAGTAAATGCTGTGCTTTTGAACGTTCTATTCATCAAAGAATGATTCAATCACGGTTTCCACAAAAATATTGTGCAGCACGACAGTTTTTAACATTGATAATAATCAGAATTGTTTGTTGAGCAGCAATATTAGAATATTAGAATGATTTCTGAAGATCATGTGACACTGAAGACTGGAGTAATGATGCTGAAAATACAGCTGCGCATTACAGGAATAAATTACAGTTTAACATCTATTACAACAAAAGCCTGTTATTTTAAATTATAAAAACATTTAGCAATTTTTAACAGCATTTTCGATCAAATAAATGCAGCCTTGGTGAGCAGAAGAGACGTTCAAAAACATTACACATTCTCACTTACGGCAGTGTATGGATGTGTATATGTTCATTATCGAAATGTAAAAATCCATGACTTTTTATGATTTTATTAATTTCCGTGAATTTTCCAGAACTGTAAATCCGGTACAGTGTGTTTTGCACCAAACAATCACATTTCTCTAGTCTATGCCAATGTTGTGATATAACAGCTCCAATAATACCTGTCAAAACGGTCAGAGGAGCAGCTCAGAGGTTAATTTTAAATATTTTTTACACATAAATCACTACACAGCAACATCTCCAGAACATGAGGGTTAAAAAGGCGTTTATGAAGCTCATGTAGCCTACATACCACAGTCATGAAGCCACACCAATGCTGAATAAAGGCCAGAAGCACTGGAGCATTTGATTGAATAACATGCTTCACAATTCAGCATCATAGAAATAAACCATATTTACCCAAAGCTGTGCGCATAATAAATAAAATGCATTATTATTATTATTATTAAATCACTACACAGCAACACCACCAGAACATGAGCATTAAAAAGGCGTTTATGAAGCTCATGTAGCCTACATACCACAGTCATGAAGCCACACCAATGCTGAATAAAGGCCAGAAGCACTGGAGCATTTGATTGAATAACATGCTTCACAATTCAGCATCATAGAAATAAACCATATTTACCCAAAGCTGTTTTAGCTTTCATAATGCTCATTATTTGTAGGCGACATGAAATCTAGAATCAGCAAAAACACACGAGGGTCGTGATTATTATTCCTCCATCCGTTCATTCAAGGCCATTTCGTGAATTATCTCTGAACGCTTCGCACATCACAGCCGATCGTTTCGATTTAAAGGCGGTGGAATCAAACGCCCAAGAGACGTGCTTCCAGCATCACTCCCCCCAAAAACCCTGCGGGATCCATCCATCCATCACCCCGCATCCCTTCAGACTGAGCGCGTTTCAATTCGATAACAAGCGAATCCGTCACCCGTAAAGCAGCGTTCCCGCCAGGAACGCCGGAATTGTAACAAACGCGCAGCGAATGTTGCACAAACGTTCTAATTCAGCAGAACAGGAAACGCAGTTTAAGGTAATTAGCGCAGATAACGCGTGTGAACACCCACCTGAAGTGTGTCACTGCTCAGTATGTGGCTCGACTCCACCCGAACGCGACGAGGAAAAACCTGCAACACCTCAAACACGGTTCATCCGCCGAACGCCGTTAAACGTCGAGTATTTCCCCGCTTTTCTGCTCGGGCGCTGGATGAGATGCGAGGGGAACCTCGATGTGACGCACAAACGCAGGTGTCGCTGCGCCTTTAAGAAGCCCTCCGGACGCGGAGGGCGCGCGTTAATATCACAAGACGCTCGGTGTCGGCGGAGGATCGTTAGGGCTCGGTATATTGCAGGGCGCACCGGAGGCACGTGAGGTTTCCCTGCTTAACGTGACATCACCGGGTCTCCCAGTCACCGAGATGACGTCACAGCCTCCGAAACACTCGCGCTGTGACGTAACACTCTCGGTATTATAGCAAGTTTTATTAATAAACAAAGACACAAATGCAGCTGGGAACTTCAATAGAATAGAACAGCCTGCTAGTTAAGTATATAGGCTAATTATAATACAGTAATAGAACAAGCAGTACAGTATATAATGGAACAGAATAAAACAGAATATACCACAATAGAAAAGAACTAAGCAATATAGACTAAAATAAAGGTTCTTCATTGTTAAAGGAAACATATGACATCCATGGAACACTTACATTGCAAAAAAGTTCATCTAAATAAAGTTAATCTACAGATACGATACAGCATATTGTGGAAAAAGGTTCTTTAGATTTTTTTTTTTTTAATTGTTCTTTACACTAAGAAAACTGGTTCTTTTAAGAACGGAAAGAATCTTTGGGGAACCAAAAATGGTTCTTCTGTGGTATCGCTATGAAATTATTTTTTAAAGTGTAGAACTGAAAAATATAGAATAAAATGAAGGCTCTTTATTGGCACGTGGTTCCATGAATCAGGGGTTCTGCAGGTTTTATGAAGGTAAATGTAACACTTTTTAAGATCTAGTGAAGAAAATGTAAGGAATAAAATTAAGGCAACACTTATGTCATGTTTTCTAAATGTAAACGAGTTCTATTAGCAACACTCCAGAGTTTGAAAATATGACTTCATACAGATCTCTTCATCAGAAATTCATCAAAATGAAGTGTTTATAATTAAAAGAACAAATATCTGCCAGTGGGCTCAGAAAAACACACTTCATTCAAAAGGAAAACACATTATACTCCATTGGCAGATATTTGTACTTGTTTTAAGCATAAACTCAATTTATAAAATAATACTTCATGTTCATTTTGCATCTCAAATAAATGTATCTTGATTTAAGAATGTTCAGATATTTGAATTAGAAAAACGAAATACTGAGGAAGATATCCACAGAACCTTTCCATTCCGTTCTTTGAAGCAAAAAAGGTTCTTTAACTCCGTAAAGTGTTCTTCATATGAAGAAAAATGGTTCACTAAAAGATTCTTATATGAAATCCCTGCAGAAAACAACATTTGGAAGCTATTTTTAACACTGTACAGGAAACAAGTGCAACAAACAGAATCAAAATTTCTTGAATATTTATATTTATATTATATATAGGTGACATTTTATTACATTTCATAAATACAAAAAAAAAAAGGAAATAATTTGTCCCAGCCAGGCCTCGGTGAACATATCAATCTTAAATTACACAAACCACTGTTAATTCAACAGAACGTTAACAATAAGCCTTTTCGTGATAGTTATGTTGAACAAATTCACACATTCATCTCGCTTCAACAACTCACACGATGACAGTAACATCAATCTCTTTCTGAGGAACGCAAACATGACAATACTGTGCACGATAATTAAGAGATAAATGTGATGCAAGCATGGAAAATAGATTCAAAAACAAAAAACGAACACATAACAGGGCTCTGTAAACACCAGATGATTCTCCCGAACTAGTCGACTCTTTCTGGGTTTACACTGACCGAGCAACTTCATTTGAGGGTTGAAATGATACACATAGTAGATATTTCTGATAATAATGAAAAACAAAGTAGTAATGGGGGAAAAGGTGAAAGCATTCCCTTTCTGGTAAACACTCAAATGTAAGACAAGATAATTAAATTAGTTGTAATGTAAGACTCGTGCTAAAAGCAAATACAGAATAGGAAACAAACAAAGGCAAACAACATTCTGGATCATGTTTAGATGGTGGACTCAAATTCAATTATTCTTCCTCCACATTTAAGGCTGTCAACACTTAAGACTTCAAGAGCATCCGAACCCTTTGTACTGTCAGGGAATTGTATTTTTTTAGGGATATAGTGTCGTCGTCTTTGTACAATAAACAGGTTGTTTTTATTGTTACCAGAAGTATTTCTAATTGTATTTGTCTTTTATTCGTAAGAGGGGCCTAGAGGTAGATCTGACTAAACCTTATATTGTATCGCCAATGTTAAATAATGTTCAAGTGATCATAACATGCTATATATAAAACTAGAACAGGAAATAAGCAAGCAGAACATGTTTTTAATGAACTATTACAAATCGGATGTGGTAACTGGGACGTTTGTTCAGGTGGAAAAGCACAGGATAAATATTAGCACAGTCGGCGATTGACGAGTGACACACGACCACCTTTGACATTCATAAGATTGTCCCGAGTGCATTTTATAATGAAGAACAAGAACCAGACGTTGAGATTGTGGCTTTCATCCTTGTTTGAGAATAAATATTTCAGCGGTCTGTCGATGAGGGATGATGTTTAAGAAGGCATTGCGTGCACACATTCATTACGCCGCTGCATGTCACTCATGCACCAGTTTTTAATCGTCCGTTTAAAACCTGCCGTGTGGATCATGAATGCCGTTTCTGCAGGAGCGCAGACGGTCGGTAGTGTTCAGATGACTGCAGTCTGGTTTGGCTTCGAAAGCAGGATATTCTCAGGATGGTGACGGGTGGGCGAGACGAGGGACATTAAGAAGGAAAGGCCTTCAAACGTTCGGTCTGGGCAGACCAGATTGTAGCAGCTTTCATAATCAACACAAATACTAGATGAATCAGTCAAAACAGACAAGGAGAAATGATGCGGGGAAAGGCCTGCGTTCGCGCTGCCTCACGAGCCCCTGCTCTTTATGGTACAAGTGGCATCCGTTCCTATGGTGTTTCAGTGGGTGGGTTCTGTGATGATCGTGGGCGGGGCTTTGTGCATGCTGGCTCCTCCTCTTCCTGGGTCGGCAGGGTCGCTCTCAGCGTCCATCCTGTGTGGGTAACGAGCGGCGTGACGCAGGATCAGCCTGCAGCGTAGCTGCTGAGGAACGAGTAAAACATGGGCAGCTTCAAGCGCTGCTGGTCTCGACGGCACCACGCGATCACCGTGCCCTCGCTGTTAGCCGTGTAGAGGTGATGACCGTCACACGAGAACGTGAGACTGAGAGAGGATACAGAAGGAAACGTCATTAATCATGTGACACTTACACTACCGGGCATTAATACTTAAGTCTCTTCTGCTCATCACGGCTGCATTTATTTGATCAAAAACACAGTAAAAATGTGAAATATTATTACAATTTAAAATAGCTGTTTTCTGTGTGAAAATCTGTTAAAATGTAATTTATTGCTGTGATACGCAGCTGAATTTTCAGCATCATTACTCCAGTCTTCAGTGTCACATGATCTTCAGAAATCATTCTAATATGCTGATTTGCTGCTCAAGAAATATTTCTGATTATTATCAATGCTGAAAACCGTAGTGCTGCTTCATATTTCTGTGGAAACTGTGATACATTTTATTTTTCAGGACTGTTTGGTTAATAGAAAGTTCAAAAGAACAGCATTTATTTGAAGTAGAAATCTTCTGTAACATTAGAAATGTCTTTCCTGTCACTTTTGATCAATTTAATGCGTCCTTGCTGAATGTATACAATTTTTTTTAACCCCAAACTTTTGAATGGTTGTGTATCACGGTTTTTATAAACATATTTTATTTTCCATAAAAATATGAAGATTTCTGAAGGATCATGTGACACTTAAGACTGGAGTAATGATGCTGAAAATTCAATTGCAATTACATTTTAACATATATTACAATAAAAGTCAGTTATTTTAAACTGTAATGATATTTCACAATTTTTACTGTATTATTGTTTAAAGAAATGCAACATTGGTGAGCAGAGGAGACTTCTTTCAAGAACAGTAAAAACTCACAAGTATTCCAAACTTTTGACTGGTAGTATATGGGTGCTATGTGCATGTAACCTTTCTAATGCAGATATCAGAATAAATCTGTGTGACGTCATATAAGAGGTAAAAGTGTGTACCTTATGATAGGCCTGTTGGATTTTGGGAAGGTGATCTCTCTGACTGGCTTCAGGTCCCATGTGCTCCACAACCTGAAATATGATGACAGAGAATAAGGAGAATAAGGTAGGAAAGCACTGATGAGAATCTTCTTAATATATACCGTATTGGCCCGAATATAAGACGACCCTGATTATAAGACGACCCCCCCTTTTTCCAGATGTACCTTTTGGAAAAAGGCTTTTTAAAAACCAAATCTTGTTTTTTCTCAGTAAAACACATTTTGTCTTCAATTGTTATGCTTTGTCAAACTCAACTATTCAACCTTGTTTCCAAAGTTACTACAAGAAAAAATAATCAAACAAATATTGTTTCTTCAAATTAGAGCATAAGTTCATCAGTAAATCAGTATTTTTCCCTAAACAGTGTAGAGTTTGTGGTTTCATGCTTTACCTGACCACACCGTTCTCCAGTCCGCCAGCGATCACGTTGACCGACACTCCCTCCGGCTGATTGGAGAACGCCACCGAACAGATGATCTCTCGACAGTGAACGTGACCAATCAAATCTCCGTTGATCGTCCACAGCCTCAGATCACTTCCTCCACCCACTGTACACACGAAGAGAACATGAAATCATTAAATTTATTCTATACAGTTGCAATATTTTCACCAACTTTAGCAGCTGGTTTACACTGTAATTGAAAACTTAATAACGATAAAACAACCATTTATACATGGAAACACAGCTCACCTGAATCACACACTGTGGCGATGTCTCCGGTCGTCTCACTGGCTGACACTGCGTTCACTGGACTCTTATGACCTGTGAGACTCTGTACGTAACACAACCTAACACAAACAACACAATCTTCATTTTCTCATTACTGCGACACAACAAAGAAAATACTGTATTAAAGTGATTTACTACTACTATGATGTAAAAGTACTTCAAATACACTGAAAAAAAGTGGTGTCGCATTTACTTTGAAACAACTTTCAATCATAAATCACTAGTAAGTTGCATAAATAAATAATTACAAAGAAATGGCAGGTAACAAAGTATGAAATAGTATTTTCTTGCAAAATTCCAAAAAATTATATTTACAGTTTATGTATGATGCATAAGTAGATTCACTCCAATAATATTTAAAAATACATTAAAATATATACTTTTATATAGAATAATTACTTTGTACATTAATGAGAATTCGAGGGCAAAATGTGTCGTAAAATAGGCTTTATTTTCTTTCTGTACAAATTTTAATGCCTTATCTACACTATAAAAAATATTTTCTGAAAGTGTCAATTAGATTATAAGAGCACTTTTTACAAGAAAATACTATTTCTGTTTTCCTACTTAAAAATTTCAGGTTTAATTCAATGGGTTACTTGACTTTCTTTCTGAAATTTACTAGCAAAATCTGAGCAAAAATAGTTTCTGCACCAAATTTTTTCACTATACTTTTATTTATTTGAAATTCAAGTCAACTTCAATGTCTTTTCTGTATCTATATTCCTTTGATATATCTTAATATGCATCCTAATCTAGTTGTCTAATTAACCTGGCATTGTTTATTACAAATATTGTTGGATAAATTGCCTTTGTTCCTCTTCTGTAAGTTGCTTTGAATAAAAGTGTCTGGTAAAGGCAGAAATGTAAGATATGAAATGACTGCAGTGATGCCAGAAGCACAGACCTGTTGAGGTCCCACAGGATGCAGGTCCCGTCTCGACTGACACTGATGAGGATGCTGTAGGGTTTACAGACGAACAGGCCCGTGACCTCCGCCGTGTGACCGTACAGGTGAAGCTGCGTCTCCACCTCCATCTCTGTCGGCTGAGGAATAAACAGACTTTACCATCACACATCTCAATGGAGAATGACTGTAATAGCACGCAGATCTAGAGGGTGAGGGTTTTGCTAATGGCCTCATTAGAGAACGGATAATGGCCTCAATAAGCAGAAGTGAGCTAAAAGACTGCTTTAACAGATGATTCTGATCTGCTTTTATGGTCCAGAGTAAACAAACCAGCACATGGCCGTATGGAGAGTGCAGCTAAGAGTTAAATCACCCAAAAATGAACATTCAACACTTATATGGGTTTTTTTCTGGTCTTGAAATAGAGATTTTTTTTAGATGATCTTATTTCATTTCTCACTTTCATTTACTTTAACTTGATGTACACAAATAACTAAAACTATAAAATATATATATTCATATTAATAAAAACTATTTAAAAATTAACTAATTTAATTAAATCAAATAATCAAAAATAATATATTAAAACATAATAAAAATATAAATGGCAATATCAATAATTCTGATACTATTGGTATTAATTGCACTTGATATTAAATAATATATAATGTATTAAGATATATTTACATAAAATTATAATTTTGTGCATTATAGTAATACACTATATTATAGTAATGAACACTCCTCAGAATACCTTATTTTATTTTTTGCTTGTTGCCAAGGCAACATTTCTCATTTCCATTTAGTTTAACTTGTAATATACTTGTAAACTACAATGGAACTAAAAATTTATAAAAATTAAATAAAAATATTTAAAAAAATAATAAATAATAATAATAATAATAAAATGACAAAATTACCAAAAATTAAAAATTACATTCAAAGTATTAATAAAACTCAAACTCAAAATAATATAAAAATAATAAATAAAACTTGACACTAATTGTGATTGTTTAAAATATATTAAAATATATAATGCTTTATATAAAATGATAATTCTGTGCATTACTGTAATGAAAAATAATGCTCATAAAACAGCCTTCATTTACTTTTTGCAAAATTTAATTTCATAGTTTTGATTATGGGTAAAAAAATTAGTTCTTGATTATTTTAACTTTAAAGTCTTTTCTGCATCTACAGGTGCATCTCAATAAATTAGAATGTCATGGAAAAGTTAATTTATTTCAGTAATTCAACTCAAATTGTAATTCAACTCAAATAATCGTGTATTAAATAAATTCAATGCACACAGACTGAAGTAGTTTAAGTCTTTGGTTCTTTTAATTGTGATGATTTTGGCTCACATTTAACAAAAACCCACCAATTCACTATCTCAACAAATTAGAAGGTGATCAGTTTGTGGCACTGCTGAGGTGGTATGGAAGCCCAGGTTTCTTTGACAGTGGCCTTCAGCTCATCTGCATTTGTATACCTCTTTAAGTCTACTGTATGCAGAATGCAAGAGTTAAATCACTCAAAAATGAACATTTTCATCATTTTTATGGTGATTCTGGCACCTCTGGTCTTGAAAAAGAGCAGTGTGAACAGTCTTCAGAATATCTTCTTTTGCATTCCACAGATGACATGAAGACAGGTTTGGAACAACATGCATGAATGATGACAGAACTGAAATACTCCTAATGTCAGAAAGATTCATTTAAACAAATATGAGAAGCAGAACGACACCTGCGTTATCAATGAGAGAGCGCTTGAAAGAGCCGTCTGACGCCCAGACTTCAGCCCACCTGTGGGCCGCAGGAAATGTGTTTCTAGGGCAACCGGGAGATGACTAACAAGGCCACTACAAACACTGTGTGTGTGTGTGTGTGTGTGTGTGTGTGTGTGTGTGTGTGTGTGTGTGGGCGGGTGCTCTACAGGGAGTGATAATGGACGTGGGCGGCTGCGTGGGTGGGGGAAGAGGGGGGCCGTGTTGCCATGGTTACGTACCATCGTGGTGGTGAAGCGGTTGCTGTAGGCGGTTATGACTCCACACTTACTGCCTGTAAACAGCTGACAACTGTCCGGCACCCAGGCACAACTAGTCACCTGAGGAGAGAGCAGAGAGAGCAGAGATTACATTTACATTTAGTCATTTAGCAGGCGCTTTTATCCAAAGAGATCCAGAGATCCAGACGATAACAATAGAAGCAATCAAAAGCAACAAAAGAGCAACAATATGCAAGTGCTATGAAAAGTCTCGGTTACAGTACATGTATCAAGGGTTTTATTTTATACAGTATATATATATATATATATATATCAAAAGAAAACAAGTAGATAGAATAGAAAAAGAATAGAGAAAGCTAGTGTTAGAGGCCTTATTTTAAGAAAACAAGCGGTTAGAAAACGAACAGAGAGAGCAAGTGTTAGAAGGTCAAGTCAACAAATAGATAAATTAGAATTAGAATAGAGAGTGCTAGAGTTAGAGGGTCAAATAAAGATGGAACAGATGTGTTTTTAGCCAATTCTTGAAGATGGTTAAGGACTCAGCTGCTGGGACTGAGTTGGGCAGGTCATTCCACCAGGAGGGAACATTTAATGTAAAAGTCTGTGAAAGTGATTTTGTGCTTCTTTGCGATGAACAATAAAGCACTGTTCACTTGCAGAATGCAAGCTTCTAGAGGCACATAAGTCTGAAGTAATTAATTAGTAGATTACAGAGAGGAAGACGACACAGCAGCAAACCAGAAATGAAGCCGAGACCATCTGATGACATGACAACGTACATGCCATCAAGACACGTCTGGCTCACATTTCACCCCAAAATCTGAATTAAAAAAGAAATTAATAGTTTTATTCAGTAAGGATGCATTCAATTGATCAAAAGTGACAATAAAGACATGTATAATGCCACAAAAGATTTCTAGTTCAAATAAATGCGGTTTCAAATAACATTGATAATAATCAGAAATGTTTCTCGAGCAGCAAATCAGAATATTAGAATGATTTCTGAAGATCATGTGACACTGAAGACTGGCGTAATGATGCTGAAAATTCAGCTTTGATCACAGAAATAAATTACATTTTAACAGATATTCAAATAGAAAACCATGATTTTAAATTGTAAAAATGTTCTAAATTTTTTCAGTTTTTCAATTTTTTACTCTAAATAATTTTTACTGTAAGCAATAAATGCAGCCTTGGTGAATATAAGGGTCTTTCAAAAACACTGACAAATCGTACCCACCCCAAATTTTGAACAGTAGTGTATATGTACACTGCCTGCTTTCGTTGTGGCATTGTCTCGACAAAGTTATGCAACACCACAGCATTTATTTCCATGAAGAACTGCATTCATTTTATGGTTGAGATCTTGTATTGTCAATAGGAGAGTCGAAGCACTCTATAAAGTCGACTCCAGCACATCCTAAAGACCTTCAATAAGGTTAAGCTCAGGAAACTGTGGTGACCAATTCATGTATGAAAATGATTCCTCATGCTCCCTAAACCACAATTTCACAAATCGGGTCCTATGAATCTTGACATTGTCATCCTGGAATATGGACATGGGTACATCTTCCGACATGGTTGTTTAAGAAATGAAAAACTATACTCTACATCAGTTCAGGTTAAAATAATTATTGCCAAACATACAACATGCCAGAAACATATTAGTCACTGCAATAATGATCCAATCCTAGACTCTCAGTATTTGCTTATTTAAATCCAAATTTTGGCCAGGCAGTGTATAGAGAGAGAGAGAGAGTCAAGAGAGTCTGTTTTTAGAACCATTACGATTTTTGCATTGTGACATTTTCATAACAATTAAAAACTAATGTACAATTATGCAAAATATGTCTTGTTTTGTTCTTTTGATTTAGAGGTGATATTTAACCCGATATATTTTTGTGAGATACGATTTATCTTATTCAGTAGAGGGTGCTGTTGACGTCTATATATAACGGACGAGAGTGCAATGCCACATCACAAAATGCTGTACAAGCTGAAATGTCTCAAACACAGATTGATCTGAAAACTGTCCAAGCGTGGCCTGTGTATTTCTGGCTCTGACCTGGTGCAGCGGTGAGCACTGGATGAAGTTGATGGGTGGCTCGCTCTGTTTGCTCTTCAGACGCAGCATGTTGTCGGTGTAACCCCAGCTCAGAATAGCCGACCACTGTATATCGGTGCTGTGCATGCTCCTTACACCTGAGAGACAAGGGGAAAACACTTCATCTGTACTGTGAGGTGATTTTCAACGACAGCACATTCACTTCATTCTCATTTCCTCTGGTATTATGAGAACTGCGTTCATTCAAGCGGATAATTGTGATAAGACACAAATGCAGATGCAATAAAAGCACTAGAAACTGTTCATGGACCAAAACACAGCCAAGATTAGTAATTGGTTGATATATTAGCAGTTCAGATTAATCATTTCATATTTTAATTTTCAGATAATGGCCATTGGATGCTGCTTTTCCCTTTAAAACAGAAAAATCTTGGTTCTCTTTTGTATTAGTTTTTTTACACCTGGTATTAACATCTGTTTGACTGAATAAAAACATCTGCTAATAATTGTATAATTGTAGATAAATAAATGAAAATGCACTAAATACATCTGGAGCACATCTGAAATTCATAAACACTACTGTTCAAAATTTTGGGGTCAGGAAGATTTTTCAATGTTTTTGAAAGAAGTCACCAAGGCTGTATTTATTTGATCAAAAATATAGTGAAAACAGTAAAAATTGTGAAATATTATTATTATATTTTTTGCTGAATTTTCAGCATCATTACTACAGTCTTCAGTGTCACATGATCCTTTAGAAATCATTCTAATATGCTGATTTGATCAAGAAACATTTCTGATTATTACCAATGTTGAAAACAGTTGTGCTGCTTCATATTTTTGTGGAAACCGTGATACATTTTATTTTTTAGGATTCTTTGATGAAAAGAATAGCGTTTATCAGAAACAGAAATCTTTTGAAACATTATAAATGTCCTTACTGTCACGTTTGATCAATTGAATGCATCCTTGCTGAATAAAAGCATTAATTTCTTTCATAAACCCATCTTACTGACCCCACACTGGGTATATCAGGTTTATAATTTCATGTTTATGCGTGATGAAGCAGTTTCTTGTGTGTGTTCTCCTTCACCTTGCTCTTTGCTGTAGATCATCATGAGGCAGAACTTGCGCGAGAGGCCGCAGATGGCACGCGTGGGCAGCGCCAGCAGGGAGCCGAAGTGTTCGCCGTGAGGTTGACTGAAACAGACCACGGGGTCCGGAGCACTGGGGGATCCCACATACTCGCCCCATTTCAAGCCCTTTATCCACGGCAGAGGACTCTAGAAACGACACAAGAGGGATTGAAGACTTTAGAAGACCAACGGGATGATCTGGGATTCAAATTAAATCTTTCGCTTCCAGAAGAACTGACCCTTTTCAACAACAAATAGGTAAACAAAAAAGAAAACTGCATTTTATAGGAATATTTTCACCCAAAAATGAAGTGTTTGTTTCTTCGCCCGATTTGGAGAAATGTAGCATTCCATCACGAGCTCAGCGATGTGAAAAAGTGAAAAAGTCCATCTCCTGTTGTCTCTCACATCAAAATCAGCCACATATTTGTTTAGAGCTGTTTTGGCTTGTAAACGGTGCTTGATCTGTGCAGATTTCTCTCCTGATTCAGACCAGACCATTTTTTCACTGGAGGAAGCATTATTATGGATTATGGACTCATATTTTGGCCAGAAGCAATGGTTTGAAGTTACAAACGTCTTAATGATGGATTTGTTTCAGCTTTTGTCTTCTCAAGTCATTAACTGATGGACTGAAGTGGTGTGGATTACTTGTGGATTATTGTGATGTTTTTATCAGCTGTTTGGACTCTCATTCTGACGGCACCCATTCACTGCAGAGCATCCATTGCTGAGACACTGATGCAATGCTACATTTCTCCAAATCTGATGAAGAGACAAACTCATCTACATCTTGGATGGCCTGAGGATGAGTACATGTTAAGCAAATATTCATTTTTGTGTGAACTATCTCTTTAATGTCAATCTGAATAATAATTTCAGCGCTGTATGTTTGCTGTACCGGGTAGACGGTTTCTTTGGGGTGCTCGCGGCTCTCTCTGAAGGCCAGCTGCACCAGGAGGCCCATGGCTGCGGGCAGTTCTGCCTCTGATAGGAGTTTGGTTCCGGCTCGGCTGATGTGCGAGGCGTTGAACAGCTGTCTGGGTGTTTGGCCGTACGTCTTGATCATAGTTTCTAGAGCCCGACGCTGCACAG